TTTGGCTTTAAAATAATGCTAATAATTACCGTTACAAATCAACTTATTCATAAATAAATAAATTACTAAAATAAACATATACAATAGAGATGCAGAACGTATCAATGGTTTTTAAGGGTGCTTATTTCGAATTCGATAAAATAAGTATGTTACAATGTTACATAATTATATAAATATAGTAATTTATTAAATCAATATTAAATAAATTATGTAAGATCATTATATATGTATATTTCGAGTTACATATCATTTTAATGGTTTTCAAGGGCACTTATTTTGAATTTGATAAACAAATAATGGCAAAATGTCATATATTCGCTTTGAGCGCAATTCCGAAATCGCGCCCCTACCGGGCACTTTTTTAACGATTGGTTGTTATTAGAAAAGGACAGTACTATGAATTAATTTCCACACGCTTGTAGAAAAGCGATATTTAAGGGTTAGCCACCTGGTGAATGGAGCCGGAAGTTCGATTTCATCATAATTACCGTTTCTAATGACGACCAATCGTTCTCAAGTGGGGGCGCGATTTCAGAAATGCGTTCAAAGCGAATAATTATATAAAAATAAAACAAAAATTGTATTAATTGGCTATACAATTCTAACANGAAAAAATACAATGGAATGAAAAAAAAATGCAACAAAAAAGGGAATAAAAAAAAAGAGATTAAATAGAAAAGTAAAAATAGAAATGAAATAAAGGAAATACAAAAAAATGAAAAAATAAATGAATGAAATGAAATATGAAAAAATAATGAAATGAAATATGACAAAAAGTAAAACAAGAAATGAAAAAAATGAAGGAAATTAAAAAAACAATCAAGGGGTATAAATGGGTCATGGGACCCACGGTAAGAACGAAGTTCTTTAAACATAAGATGAGTATAAAGACACACAATTTCTCAGGTAACAAGGAGTTTGTGAGACCCATAGGAAGAACGAAGTTCAATAAAAATTAGTACTGCATTCATGTAGCTCACTAAAACCAAAACTTGAAAAACGAATTAAAAAAAAATAGTTCAGTACTCACGACGGTTGAATTTTGAAGCTGATAGTCTTGTGAAACTTAAAAAATATATTTATTGTGAGCATCGTTTACATATAGATCTAATTTTGACACGAGTATGGCAAAGCTGCTTAGCACAGCTAAAATTTTAATGAAGTAAGCATGAAGAGCATGAAGACTATCATATCAGCTGCAGTGAATGTATACACACTCATTTAAACATGCTTATATGTAGGTATTATAAGCTGCGCAGGCAACGAGTGCGTGCCTGCTGCAGAGAGAGCATATAGTGTAAAAACAAAAAGTGGAAGAAGCACACGCAAGACGGCAACGGACAAAACTCCATCGCTGCTTTGTGTTTTGCCCATAGCTATAGTCAATGCGTTAAAGGTGTCATTATGACATTACGGCATAGACACTGGCGACGCGATAACTACATAGCAGCCTGCATTTAGCTCGTAGCAGCTACAGTTAAAGCGCATGATGTGCCGCACAGGTTCATCGCATTGACGCTCTCATGCGATAATGCCATTTTTTCTTCTGCGTGTGGTGTTAGCAATTAATTTCTTACCTGCTATTATACATGTATCTGTTGCGAGTGTGGAGAAAGACATGCCTCTTTTATCCATGCTACTTAAATTATTATTATACCAATATATCTATAAACATTATAGTTACAAATTAGTGATAGAGTATTGAAGGGGTAACCAGGGGCGTAGTGTGAACGTTGCGAGTGCTGTGCGTGCAGAGATTTATTCAAAGTGAGAGAGTCTCGGCAAGCGGACGAATCAGTGAGGTTGAGCTGCGTAAGTGAGAGCTAAGCGCTATGTGTGCTTTGTTGCATGAGCTCTGCGTTGTATCAGCATGTGTGGTCCCAAGTATATTTACTGGAAGTGTTTTCTTATTCTTTGATAATAAATCTCAGTCGTTTTCATTTTATTTAATACTTGATTTATTGTATCACTTCTTCCTTCCCTTGTGGTTTATTGTTCGAAAGTCAATAATTTTGAAGACAAACGTTAACAATAGTTTATTCATACAAGGTTATATTAATACATTAATTTTGTATTTCATTATATTCTTTCACGATCTTTCATTAGGGGCTAATATGGTTTTTTTAACGACGGTAGTTGTTTCCTAACACATAGGTCAACCTTAAATATAGATATACAATATTCATATATCATCCCGTATTCAAAATATCAGAGTGAAATGTAAATGTCTTTGCGTATACTTATACACACATAAACATATACATCTATCTACTTGTATTCATGTGACATTGCGAAGTTGCCACTTACGCAATACTTACTTGGTTATCTTCGAAAGTCAAAAGAAGAGCAATTTTTTTATTACTATTACTTTAAAACTATGTAATAAAAAATTCTCATAAAAATGTGTATGTTTCTTTACTGTCTAAGGTAGTTTTCAGTAGTTTTTCAATTATTAGTTTTGCTGACAATTTCGTACCTTTGTAGATACTTTTAAATTAGGAAACAACTACCTTAAAGACGTTTAGTACAGTTAGAAGGATGAACGTTTAGAGAGGTGAGAGAAGTGCAAATATGCAGCAACGCTGGAAATTACTTTTGTCATACGGATATTGAAATAACCACTTATGGATCAATTTAACCATTTAATTAGTTTAATTCATAGTAATCTACCATACAAAACAAATTGAAAAATTTCTTTGGAAAATTAACAAATTGAAACATTTTTGTGTGATAAACGTCCTGAAGCGACATTCACTTCACGCAGAAAAAAATACAGGAATTTTTAAAGTAAAAGCAACGGTAAAGTTGCAACTGAAAATTTTAACTATAATTTTAACTGTTATGTTTAGTTAATTTTACCGTAGCGTTACAGTAATTTTTCCATTATTATACCTTTTACTCTAAAACTACGGTAATTTTTTCCCTGATAAAAAAAATGTTACATCAGTGGTCGATAATACAGATAATACTTACATGATGTGTAAGAATTCGGTATCTGTATTATCGATCACTGATGTAATTTTTTTTTTCCAGCAGAGTAAAAAGTATAAGAAATAAGGATAAATTTACTGTAAAGAAAAAATTACTGTAAAGCTACGGTAAAATTCACTAAACATTACAGTAAAAATTATAGTTAAAATTTTCAGTCTCAACTTAACTGTTGCTTTTACAGTAAAAATTCCTGTAGCTTTTTCTGCGTGTAGCGTCTAATATTAAAGATAAAGCGGTATTACAGGATGGTTTTACATTACAATTTGTCTTTATGTTAACAGTAATATAGAAAGTCAGTTTGAAAACTATTGTTTTCTGATTTTCAATCGAATTAAATAAAAAATGACGAAGCATTCAAGATTTTACACGATAGGAGTCCTAATTCGGTTATGCGGCTGCGTAGTGGGACGGGGCTCTGCGCTAACCCCCCCCCCCTTCTACTAACAGATTATGTTATAAATATTGTCTTTTCTAAATAAGTTTTGTACAAAGTAAAAAAGTTAAATTATTTTGTACATACAAAACTGTCTAAAATGATTAAAAATAGTAATTAACTTTTAACACTAAATAGTTTCACTAATTCTGTCATCAGTTTTATAAAAAAAAAGTTTAAGAATTGGATCTCAACATGCAGTGTGCCAAATTCAAAAAAAAAATTTTTTATAACTAACATATCAAATTTAAAGCACTTAACTCTGTTAACAGCCAATTTGGCACTCAATTGTTCCTTGGCAGAAGTATTAGATCTGAGTCAAATGGCTATCACTTGGGGCTTTTTAACAGATATACTTAACTAATCAGACATAGTTCTTATAAACCGATCAGACGTCTGGTATTTCTAACAGGGTTATCAGACATATTAGACCCAAGTATTAGTCATTTTTAACATGCCTCATTACTATTGGGCATACTTCTCTTTAGCGGCACATATCTCTGCGGGGTGGGGGTGGCGTTTATTTTATTTTATTTTATTTTTTAATTACGTAGAAACAAGCAGAATTTTACGTCATTGTGTGTGATGGGCTAGTGGGGCGGCTGGTACAGGCATGGACCTAAAAACAATTACATAATATAGGAAAATATTTATATACATTCACATACCATGTACGAGGTGTGCTAAAAAAATAAAGAGAATTTTCGTTTTATGCAAAAAAAAATTGATTTATTCATCAATATCTATTTTGTCCCCTTCAAAATAATCCCCCTCGAATGTTTCGCAATCTAAGGTTCGA